GGGGAGGAGGAGGGTTTTTGCCCAGCCCGTTTCCGGAGCGCGAGGGAGGGCTGGAGGGACGGATCCTTGCCCCAGCTCCCAGGAATGGCAGCTGACACCCAGAGCCGGTCACAGCTGCAGTGACAGCAGCGTGGCATTTGCACGCCATGTCCCCGGGAAGTTTCCCTTGTACCCCAGCCCGGCTGCGGGGTTCAAAGTCCCGTTTTCGGGACGTGGCTCCGTCACCCAGCGGGTCCTTGCACATGTCCCTTGTCCCCCCGTGTCTGTGTGTGTCCCCACAGGAGTGCACACCCCTGGGTGTGCTCATCATTCTGGGGGTGAGTGGGAAGCCCTGAGACCTTCATCCCATGTCCCTCCATGTCCCCTGCATCCCTCTGAGGTGGTCTTGGCCATAGAGATGCCTTTTTGGGCTACCTAAAAGCAGAGGCCAGACAAAATTAAGAGAATAAAAAGTGGTTATATTTATTGAAGGGCCTTCAGGTACATTTTGGGCAGACAAAGCCCCTCAGGGGCTACACCCAAAATGGACGACAGTTCATGGGTTTTCACACTTTTGTAAGTTTGGTCCTTTTGCACATTGGAGGTTGATCTTTCAATTATAGCTTCAAGTAATGAAGTAATTTACTCCAAGTTTGCCCCCCCAACTCACTTTTGTTTACATTTCTCAGGCCTGAGACAGTGAGGTGTCCTTGATTCCCAGGACTAAAGAGGAATTGTTTTGACCAAAATGGGAAAGCAGTAGCTAACACTTTATGGAATTTAGAGTTATACACAAAATAATTGAAGGATTACAAATATATGAAAAATATAAAAGCCAAAATCCTAAGGCATCAACAGCAGTGCATGCTCCTGGGAGTGGATATCCTTCTGGGGGTACATGGGAAGCCCCGTGACCAGAGGCTTCACCCCACATCCCTCCTTGTCCCCAGCATGCCCCTGAGATGTTCTTGGGCACAGGGATGGGTTTGTGGGCAGCAGGGTGCTGCTGTGGGGCTGGAACGGGACAGCCCCTCCTGCCCCACAGCGCTGGTGGCTCCCTGGACTCTGCTGCCACTGCAGAGATGAGCAACTTCACTCCAAATGCTGCTGGGGGAATTCCCAGTGACGAGGGTGGAAAGAAGAGATGACGAGGTGGGGCCCAGAGAGAAACCCCAGTCAGGGCAGCACTGGTGGCTGACACGGAGCACTTGGTGCCCCAGGAGCCGTTTCAGAGCTGAGAGCAGCCAAACGAGCTGGGATAACAAAGCAGAAATTAAGGGACCCATTTCCAGCAGAGGGGTGTGGTCTTCAAAAGTGGCCTCAGAGGAGGAGTCTGACTTGCTCCAGCTGAGATTGTCCCCATGGCTCCTGAGGGCGTTTGTGGTGGGAACAGGGGGACTCCAGCTGACAGTGGGAAAGTCCAGGCACCACTCAGGGAGTCACTGACATTTTCTGGGAAAGAGCAGGACGTGAATGGGAGCCCTTCAGGCAGCCCATGGGTGCAGCTTTCTGTTTGGGGTGGAGTGGTGGGCATGGGGAACCCCTGGGGATGGTGGGACCCCAGCCCACCCCAGACTGCTCCATGGGGTGCAGGAGCATGGTCCAGGTGCTCCCACCAATCCCTGAATCTGGCAGGGAGGTGGCAAAGTGGGGGATGTGGGGGTGCTCCAGGCAAGGAGCTGAGCATCCAGAGGATGCTCCGGATCCATGCCTGATGTCAGCCCCAGGAGCTGCGCCCACGTTCCTCGGCTCATTCCCACTTGAGAGTCCCTGTACCTTCCCCAGCAGCCATGGTGGTGTCTCAGAAAGAGGAAGCATCAGCCCCGGCATCCCCCACCGTCGCCCGGGGGCTATTTTGGGTCTGGAGAAAGCGGAAGGCAGCACCGGGCGGGCGATGCCCTGCAGCACGCAGGGGCCAGCGGTGGACGGGGAAAGAGGAACCCCAACATCGCCCCCCACCCCCCTTCCCACCTGTGGGATGAGGAAAGAGGATCTGTCTCACCTGAAGCATTAAAGGTTTTTGGGAGCTTGGCCAGTTCCTGGGGTGATTGCAGGGGATCCTCCAATGTGTCCAGCTCCCGATTCCTGCCTTTGTGAACCAGGGGCAGGGTGCTGGTGCACATGCCATTTTTAAATGCTGGTTTTTGCTCTTAAATGTTTGCTTTGCCACCAGTGCCCAGGTAAATGTTAGCCTGTGTGGCTGCGTGTGTGGGTGACCCAAGGAAAGGTCAGGGATATAACCATGAGTGCGGGTTGATTGTGATGGGGTGGATATGGATGGAGAAAGGAAGGAAGGAAGGAAGGAAGGAAGGAAGGAAGGAAGGAAGGAAGGAAGGAAGGATGGATAAAGGGATGGATGGACGGATGGATGGATGGATGGATGGATGGATGGATGGATGGATGGACGGATGGATGGACGGACAGACAAATGGATGGGCAGATGGACACAGGGATGGACAGACAGGCTCCTGTTGCACCCACACTCTGCAGGAGGCCATCCAGCTGTGCTCCCTCCCTGTTGCACCCCAGCTTATGCTGTCCCCGGTGTCAGCCCGAGGGGTGGGCCATGCCTGAGGCCCGGTGGGAACGGGGGCACTGCCATGGGGGGAGGACAAGAGGAGCCAAGGCTGGCCGTGGGCCATCCCCGCCGCCTCTGGGCCGTGATATCTCTGCCGAGCAGACTTAGCCCCACCGGCCGCCCCTCCTGCTCCGGGGATGCTCCATGAGCACCTGGGAATCGCGCCGGGCCAGGGCGATAGGGGCAGTATCAGCCGGCGCAGGCTGGCTCCCTGCTCCCCGCTCCGCCGGGGCGGATGCCACTGGCAGAAGGAGCAGGAGCCGGCCCGCTCCGCTGGGCCCCTTCCAGCCGCGGGGAGGAGCGGCGGGAGAGCAGAGCCCGGCGGCTGTGCACGGGCAGGGAGGGAATCTAGGTCAGGGCTTGCTTTAAAAGGGGGCACGGAGCCCAGAACGCCGCGGCTTCCAGCGAAGCCACGGAGCAGCGGCGCCTGCCCGAGCCCGGCGCAGACACCGGGAGCCGGCAGCTGAGGAATGTCGGTGCTCACCCGGAGCATCCCCATCCCGGGAGCTGCCGAGGACAACCACGGGTGCCGCTCCTCGTGTGCGTGGCCGTTCACGCAATTCCTTGTTTTGTAGCTCAGGTTTGTAGCTCAGGGATGGAAAACAAGTGATGCCCGGGGATATGGGCTTTCCAGAGACACGCGTGCCTGGGCACAGGGAGATGCCACTCACCTCCCAAACGAGAGGGTCAAATGGCCCCCTCCTTCCCCTCCGCCTCCACACGGCTGGAAGGGCGTCAGCGAAGGGAACTCGCCCTATGTCTGACATTTCTGCATTCGCCAGCAAACGGCCAAAAAAAAAAAAAAAAAAGCCCCAACCGAGCAAAAATCCCGGTAGCAGCAAAAAGGGAACCGGGGAGAGGTGGAGGGTGCAGAGCTGTGGCTGCCAGGGTGAACAAACGCCTCCACATTTTGCCCCCCAAGTAACTGCCCAGCCCTGGCAGAGCCCCAGCAGACCCGAAAAAACAAAAGGGAATTTATTTTTCCCCTCTCCCCAAATTTAGGATTGCTCTGCACTTCCCAACACCTTTCAAGGTCTTGGGATTGGGAGATGATTAAGTTGGCACCATGATGCCTTTAATTAAAAGCCAGCGCCTGAGGTTGGAGGGAAATCAGCTGCTAGAGCAGGGGATTTTTGGAGGGCAATCCCGTGAGGCACAGCCCGATCCCTGGCTGTGCAGGGAGGCTGGACTTGGCAGTGGGCTTTGTGCCTGGCAGAGCTGGCAGAGGCCACGGCAGTCCCTGTGAGCCGCAGCCCCTCCTGCCGCAGCCACCTCTCAGGGCCAGATTTTCAGGAACTCGGGCTCCGGTGAGCTTGGAAAAATCCAGATTTTTCTCATGGGCTCAGCATTTGGCCACTCCCTGGGTTTCCACTGAGCTCAGCTTCGAAATGAGGTGTGCACCAAGGCTCCACACTTCACAATAACCCCTCAAAAACTCCCACAATAAAAAGTTAAGCTACTCAAGTGCTCCCTGCCCTTCCGAGGCCAAGCAGGCTGGTGGGTGTCATGTGCTGTGCTCCAGGAAGGGCATTTCCAGGAGCTCTGGTGGGTGCTAACCCTCCGCTCGGGTGGCCAAGGTGCTGATGGAAAGGGCTCTGACAAATTCCATTTCCCCATCTATATTCACTTCCCTTTTCATGCCTCATCCTGGGGAACCCGAAGAGACAGGGGAAAAAGCTCTGAAAATGAAACGAGGCCCCAACCCAGTGGGATTTTCAAGGAAGGGATTGCAAAATAGTTGGGAGCGGAGCAGCCCAGGGTTTCCCTGAGCCCTGAGGCAGGTCTCGGACCCAGGGCGGACTGCAGGCTGTGCTGCCGGCGGGTTTGGGTCCCATCCCTCCAAAGGGAACAGCAGATTGTCACCAGAGCCGGCTCTGCCGCGGCAGGCACGGGCCAGACCCCCCCTCCTGCCACTGCTTCCCCTTTGATGCCACTGCAGGTGGCACCGCAGAATCCGGTTTTTGAGGCACATTTGGAGCGGGCAGCGGCCTGATCCCTGCAGCTGCACACCGGGACCGGGCAGCCGGGGCGGGCTGGGGGTACCGGGGCGGGCTGGGGGTACCGCAGCCACCGCCGGACCTACCGGGAGCCCCAAGCCCCGAAGGAGCGGCGAGGGGACAGCAGGGCAGCTCGTCACCGTGCTGAATGATCGGCGCCAATTAACGAGCGCGGTGGGAGGCGGGGCACCGGAGCTCGGGGACCGTACAGAGCAGGGCAGGGAATTCTCCGCTGCCCCATGGCTGCGGTGCCCGTGCCGGTGCCGCCCGGTGTGTCGGGCCGTGCCCGCTGTCCCGGTACCCCGTGCCGGTGCTGCCCCCTGCCCTCCGGCCGCGCTCACGGCACCGCCCGGCCCCGCCCGGCCGCGCTGCCCCCTCCATGACGTCACCCCGGTGTCCGGTGCAGGGGGGCAGTGACACGCGTGTCACCGTCACCGTGGCGACGCGGCGGTGACGCGCTGTGCCCGCGACCCTCCCCGGAACGGGCGGGCGGCGCGCGCTGAGCGCGTCACCGGGGGAGGCGGCGGCGGCGGCTGGACGGGCCCGGGGCGCCGCCATGGAGAGCGCGAGCCAGGGTACGGCCCGGGGGCTGCTCCGGGCCTGGGGCGCCTGGTGGCGGGCACGGGGGGAGCCCGGGGACGGCGGTGCGGGAGCTGCCGCTGCCGCGATGGGGGACGCGGCCCCGGGGATGGGGAGCGACCCCGGGGATGGGGAGCGGCCCCGGGGATGGGGAGCGGCCGGGGGTCTCTCCTTGGCTCCGCTTCCCTCGCCGCGCCCGTCCCCACGCTCGGAGCCGGGCACAGCGGCTGTGAGGCCGCGGAATGCCCGGCGCTGCTGCCCGTTCCGATGGACGCCGGTGGAGGAAGCTCCGGCGGAGGTTTCTGTTCCCGTCCCCTCGCCGCAGCTCCGCCGCCCCGCGCCCCGCTTTGCATAACGCCTGCCGCTTGCTTATTCCGTGCCCTCTGCTCCTTGTCTGCGACAGATATCAACCTTAACTCTCCCAACAAAGGTCTGCTGGCGGATGCCATGACAGATGTTCCCGTGGATAACGCGGCCCGGGGCGCTGCGCCCGAGGGATTGACTCTGGCCGAGGAGGAGGAGCTGAGAGCCGAGCTCGCCAAGGTACGGGGGGCTCGCTTGTGCCCGGCTGTGTGCTGCTGGGAAGGAGCAAACAGCAGACACAGCGGCAGGGCTGGGTGTTTTGTTGTTGGGGTTTGCTTTTTGTTTTTGGTCTTTAATTTTGCAGTGTTACCTTCGGGTCTCTGAGGTAATTGTTAAAATGCACAAAGCTGGCAGGTACTTCAAACGCTGCGGTGTGTTGTTTGCTCTTTCCCAGAACAGCCTAATTTAGAGCTCTAAGGAAATAAGTGGCTTTTGATGCCGTGAGCTCAATGTAGGATTTTATCAGGCAAATACTAGGCAAAAGAAATAAATTTTTTCTTAGGAAACTGGAACATTGGAGCACTTAATGAGGTTTTCTTCCTACTTTTTTCTCTTAAATATTTATTACAGTTTACAGGCAATTATTTTTGGTACCTATACACTCTCAAAGAGCTGAGGGTTTGCAATGTAACGTCCTAAAGTTTGAGCACCTTTTGGTGTTTAAAGGTCAGGTTATAACTTCTGTCTGAAACGTGGCTGAAGATAATTGCAGCTGTTTTTCTGTGGTCCTTTCCTTCATGTGAGAATCCTGTGGTGATTCTTTGACTTGCAGGTTGTGGCAGGGGAGGACTTTGCTGCTCTGGGTGCTCATGCAGGGCTTGCTGAGCTGCAGCTAAGGTGGAAATGAACCCACTCTGCCTGGAAACAGCTCCAGAGTGCTTTGAAAGTGTTGTCAGAAAGATTTCTGAGGAAAAGCTCTTTGCTTTAAAGACATCAGAGGAAAAGAAGCATGAGATAAAATCTTAGTTAATAAGGTTTGGTGACTGAATGGTGTTTACTGTTGAAATTACAATACAAGGAATGGGTTCTGTGCATCTCAGTGTCACTAAGTCACAGTGACTTGTATGGAGGTGAAGTCTGAGTGGTCTCCCATTCCACCTCAGTCCATGTTGAGTTGAATAATTCATCTGATGTTCTTCCCAACTTTTAAAATTATTGTTAATGAGGTGTCGCTAGTTTTGAGGGAGGTAAAAATCTGTTTTAATTTACAGTTTTTAACTAAACTGTGATTTGAGACAAACCTCTGCCTTTCTCTAAGGTTGAAGAAGAAATTGGTACTCTCAGACAAGTTCTGGCTGCCAAAGAGAGGCACTGTGGAGAGCTGAAGAGGAAGCTGGGTCTGACTCCCTTGGATGGGCTGAAGCAAAACCTGTCCAAAAGCTGGCACGATGTCCAGGTCTCCAACGCGTAAGTGCTGCTTGTGACACCCGTGTTTAACCAGGGCTCTGTGTGACTTTCCCAGCAGGGTATTCCAGAGCTCTCTTCAGTGGCTGGAGGGTTCTCTTCTGATGGAGTAAAAGACACCTTAAAAAATCCTTTCTGTTTCTGCATAAGCTGGATTTGCATATCTGGGATCGGGATAAATTGTTGCTGGCTGCTCTTTGCCATGGTCTTAAAAGTCTGGATCACATTTACTGGTTCAGTTTGCCCGTTTCTACCCCTTCTTTGAAGCTGCTGCCTTGTTCTGAGCTCAGGCTCAAAGAGAAGTGCAAGCAGTTTCACAGCTTGTGCCAGTTCAGAAGCATTCCCTAGGTTGTATAGCCTGGATTAAAAGCCTACACTTCCTAGGAAAAAAAATCTGTGATATTGGTGTGCTTCACCAGAGTCATCTTGTCCTAAATATATGAAGTGAGACTGTTCCTGAGCAGGCATGAAGGGTATGGTCCCTGCTGTGCTTGACAGTGCCAAAAGGAGGGTTTCTGAGGTAAGTTTGTCCTTGCACTGGGTGTCAGGAACTCTGGGTGCCCATGGACATCATTCAGGCTAAAAAGTCTCCTGTAACTTAACTGGGGTTTGGAGTTAATGACAGTGATACTGCAGAGCAGATTGTTGAGCTGTTCATTGTTGATTGTTGAGCCCTTGTTGTTTATTCTTTCCCTTTTTCCTCGCCTTCCCTCCTCTATCCCTGCCCTGTTTCTGTTATTCCTTTGTCACTGGAATCTGTGTCATTGTCTTCTAAAAAATGAATATTAAAGTTATATTCATTAACACTTTCTGTTTCTAGTTATGTGAAAACATCTGAGAAACTTGGAGAGTGGAATGACAAAGTGACACAGTCTGACTTGTGAGTGCCTCGGGCTCCTCAGCATCACCTCCCTGTTCCTTGCTGCCTTCCCTGATTTGTGCTGCTCCTTGCTCTCCCAGGCATCAGGGCTTGCTTGGGGGCTGGAGGCAGGGTGAAGCAGCATTGTTACTTCCAGCATGCCTGGCTTCCAGCTAGAAACATCCCTCAGTTGCAGAGGAGATGAGTAAATGTTACTGCCATCATCTCTGTCATGGTCTTGCTATTGCAGAAGAAAAATTCCAATCAGTTACCAGACCACATTTTGTATGGGAAAAAAAAGGAGGGGACAAAAAAATTAACCCCAAGTTCCCTTCAGCTGGTAATTAGTAGGTTAGTCTGTTGTTTCAGGTGTCTTATTAGTGAACTCTGCCTTTATTGTGAAACTGTTTCTCTTCTCATCATGAATGTGGTAGGAATATGACTGCTGCCTTTCTGTATGGCCACCTGGGAGAGAAGTGGCTGGAGGTGCTTCCCCATAGCTGGAATTAGGGGCTGTGCAACTGCCAGTGTGTTCATGAGCTTCTCAATCTGCTGCATTTTCCCAGTGTCAGCACTAGAAATCCATTAATTTTAATCTTTGCTGTGTATTCAAGCAGGTGACAAATGCAGACAAAGAGCATCTGGCTACTTTTGCTTCTGGAATAAATTCTTTAATTATATTAGAGCTCCACTGGTATTAGACACGAATCATTGATTCCTGCTGCATAACTGGACCTAAGGAGCCCTTGAGTGCTTTCTGTGCTGAAGTTTCTCTCCCTTTGTCTTGTGTTGAAGGAGATTATTTAGCTAAGAGGAAAACGTGACTTGGGAGCATCACATCATTAGGCACTGATCTAACTGGGGCAAGTGAATTCTGGTTGATAAGTCCCCTCCTTTGAGCACCTCTGTGTTCTGTCTGGGGTGGGAGCAGCCACCTCCTGTAGTGTGTGTGTTCTGTACCTCCAGAGTTAGTTGTAGCAACCCTTAAGGTACTGTTCTTGTACAGAGAAACATGATTTTTAAACATCAGAAAAACAAAAGTTTAAGTTTGTCTGGTTCCTGCTGTATTGGTAAAATACATCTTTGGGTGTGGCAGTTTGATTTTTTTTGTCCTTAAGATCAGTTCACTGCTCTGTGCTTTTAATACAGACCAGCAACAGAACACGTAGGAAGAGAGCAGAAGATGCAAAGTTTTTCATTTCCTGACACCTTTTAATCTGCAGGCTTTGTTTCTTTGTGCTCAGTGTTTGAACATGCTTAAACAAAAGAAACTGGGGCTTAGGTGTCTCCCTGCCTCTCAAACAGTTCTTTTCCTTCTGGCTGTACCAGAGAGGCTGAAGCTGTTGTCAGAGAAATAAAGCCTCTGATACTGTACATGTAAAGAGTCACTAATAATGTGGAAAGTGTCAGAAGAAGAATCTGTAGTGAATCTTGGAGCTGTCTCTAACCTCAGTTGTGTTTGTAGATATCTTTCAGCCAGCAGCACACTGGAGGACTGGAATGAAAAATTAACTCAATCAGAAGCGTGAGTGTCTTAACCTTCAGCCTTAACAAACGCTTTCCTCTGCCAGTCTGCTGCCACTAACTGTGCTGTGCCTCTGCTCCCAGTCCTCTGCTTTCACCAAATCTACCTGGACATTTATCTTTCCTAGCTTCTAACTTTTTTAACCCAATAAATGCCTCTGCTGGGAGAGGGAGCTTTTCCTCAGGTGAGTATCCAAGTGATACTCTAGAAATGCCTGCCAGGTCTCAGGAACTGGCTGAAACCCCTGGGTAGCTGAAACCTGTGTGCCACACGTTACACCTTCAGCTGAGAAGCTGTGGAATAGCCAGACTGACTTTCTTGTTACCCCAACATGCTCTGCAGGGAGCAGGAGCATCTGGTACCTGATGAGAATAGAGCTGTAGTGTCCAGGACAGCTTCCTGTCATGCTGGGGCCACAGATAGGCTCAAACAGCTTAAACCTCACAGCTGTTCTACTCCAGTTGTTGAATGCAAATCTCTCTTAGATGTGCTCTTACTAAATGCCTGAAATTAAATTCTCATCTGGACTGAATTATGGAGGGATATTGTGGAAGTTGGCCTTTGTCCTTCTCTCTGTGCATTTCCCACAGTATGTAGGGCAATCCCGTACAGTGCTGGAGTGGGGGCAGGTAGGTTTTGTCATTATTTTCTGAGCTGATTTAGACTGGGGAGGTAGGTCTTAGATGTGAGCCAGCTTTTCTTGTTCTCTGCAGTGGGTATAGAATGCAGTCCTTGGAGCTGGCTGGTTATCAGCAGCATGTGTGAATGCATGGTTTTCTTCCTAACACGGGTGAAAGAGGAGCAGAGATAAAGTGTAGGAGTAGCAGAAAGAACTTTGAAGTATGCAGGTCTACTTTCAACTGTGTTTTCTAGATTAAGAAGCTGTAAACTGTCACCATTTCACTTGCCAAGTAGAATGACCTTGGTTTTTGTGCTTGCTGACAGTGGTTGACTCCAGCAGAGTTCAGAGTCCCTCCCTGGGTGTGCCTGCAAGAGCAGAAAACTCCTGGTTGTATCTGTTTCCTTGTACTTCATAAGCACCAGAAATGTGGCGGAAATGTGCTTTTGTGGAGCACTTGGGGCCTGAAGAGCTGTGGCACCTTAGCTTTCCTGCTTGCTTTGGCACTGGACAGTGACAATTGGTGCTGGCAAGGTAGAGACTGAAACAGGGACGTGAGGGGGATTGAAAGATTCCAGCAACATTTCAGAAATTAGTCAGAGTTTCTACTTCTTCAGAGTTTAGTGAGTGCAAAAAGGCGAGTTCAAGTAGTCCAAGGGTGAGGTTTTATTCAGATGTTTTGGGGTTTTTTATGCAAATAAATCATTTTTCCTGTTTCAATGCTGGTCTGCTCTGTGACTAACAAGGCTCTTGAGTGAACTGAGAATGGACCTGACTCCTGACCTTATGGTGCTTTTGCATGCTGTGGAATTTCCTGGTGTTTGCCATTCCTGGCCACAGACTTTCCCTCTGCAAGCAGTACATAAACAGGGAAAAACCCACCCCAGTCTGTTCCTAGATCCAGTTTCACTGTAAGCAGAATGTGAGGTGACTTGCACAGTTTGTGTCTTTAGCCAGACAGCTCCAATGCTGATTGCTGGATGAAAGCAAGTGAGAGGAAGCTGGTGTTAATGGATAAAGGAGGATTTGAGGGTGCAGATTTCACTCCTTCCTGTCAGGGTTTATAGGAGAGGCGTTCAGTGAAATGTTTGAATACCACAGGATGAAGAGCACAGGGTAGAGATCATCTCTGCAGCTTCTGCTGCAGCCAATTGCCTGTGAGTAAAGCGGGGTATTAGCCAGAGCTTATATTTATTACTCCCAGATTTGGATTATTCCTTTGTGCTTTGTGCTGGGGCTAAGGGAAGAAAGTGAGTGCTTGTGAATTTACACCCATGGAAAACCAGGCTGTGGCACTTGCAGGAGAAGAGTTGCAACTTCTAGGTCAGGGCTGGGTGTAGTTAAGTTGCATTAAAGCCTTGTGTAAGCTGATCCCTTGCTGTCACAGCTGCAGCTGCACGTGTGTGTCTGGTGGCAGTTCTGGGTTACAGAGCTGCTCATCTCCCTGTGCTTCCCTGGCTCTGCCTGGCAGCAGTGAGGTGTGTACGTGTGTGTGGGAGCTGTGGATGCAGGACTAGGCTGCCCATCTGATCCAGCTGCTGCTTTTTTGTGCTTCCAAGTTTATATTTAATCCAGATCGTTGCCTTGATCTAGATTGCTTTGCCAGCACAGGCAGTTGTGCTGGAGGAAGGAGAACACTCAGGCAGAAGCAGCAGCACCCAAGCACTTGTTCTTTGGTTATAGTAAAAATTCTGTTGTCAGGTGTGGAAAACACGAGTGAAAAATCTCTGGCCTGCTGAAGCTGGGCATAATTTTGCAATTGGAAGAGTATGAATGGCATGATGGTGTCTTTTGGGGCTGTAAACCCTTCCTCAGTGCTGAGCTCTGAGTGCCAAGCAGACCTGGAGTCAGCAGTGCATATTTTGGTGAGCACGAGGTCTTCGATACTTGTTAGGCAGCTGTAAATCAAATCCCATGACAGGGCTCAGCCAGGGAGGAGCCTGCCTGCTGAAGGCAGGGCTTGAGATCCTCCTCAAACACAGTGGTTGCAATAGAAAGGCAATCCTTGTATGAGATCTAGCAGCCTTGGTGCTGATCAGTCCACTCCTAAATTGTGCTGAGGTGCAGAAAATTGTGCTGTGCAGAGGCAATGTTGAGGCCTTGCTGTTGGGGTATGCTCAGGTTCTTCTGGAGCTCTTGACTTCAAGAAGAATTGGTCTGAAAAATGGAATTATGGGAGGTTATAGGAATTATAGGAGTTACAGGAATTCTCTCTGAGAAGCAGGAAGAAGGAAGGAAAAGCTGATGCAGTTTTGCCCTGTTCTGCCTAAGTCTCGTGTGTATTCGTGATTCAGAAATACTTGGCTGTGGTATTTAAAAAAAAACAAAAAAAAACCAACAAAAAACCCCAACATGTTGTAACTGGAATTGCTCAAATCCAGTTCTGGTGCTGTGGTGCTGTCCATGCACTTCTGCCTGGAGAGAAGGAGATGTGAGTAAGTCATCTGTCACCGTGGTGTTTGTAGCCAGGGGAGCTCAGGCATGAGAGAACATTAGGCTGTTTATAATGCCCTCCTCCTAAATGTCCTCACCAGGCAAAAAAATAATATCAAGCTGAAATATTTGGAATAAGAAAAGTTTAAAATGTTGAACTTGTTTTCCAGCCTGAGTCTTTTCTTTGTAGTTTGAAGAATGACATAAATCTAGATGTTAATCATCAACTGTAGAATAGTTTAGAGAGAATGAATTAATGAAAGTGACACAAAGAATCTTTGTTCCTGAGATTAGTCTCATCTGGAGGAAACAAAGGTTCTCAAGTGTCTCCAGCTCAGGTATAAACTCAAATAATCAGCTGACAAATAAAAGCTTCTTACCTATTGTGGTTAATGGTAACTGATAGGAAACTTCTCTACTAATTTATTTCTAAACTGCTGCTGTAGAGCTAATGCTCATTCCTGCATTTCTTTTCTGTATGCTGATGATGATCTTGCTTCTTGCCTCTTTTCTCCAAAACATAACCCCACAACAAGTGCCATGGCTTCCTCAAGGCTGAAAGGATAGTGTGGAATAGTTCCTAGATTTATTTTCTCCAGAACATGAAAAGATGGTTGCAGAGCAATTAGGGTACAGTGCTGAGGTGTTAGAGCTTCCATGTGGAAAATTGGATTTGCTTTGGTTTTTAGCAAATATTTGTTAGATTTAAGAATATATGATCAATAGTATAAGGTGAGTGTATGGAAAATTAATCCTATACTTACTGCTTTTGTAAAACTTCAAGTATTTAAATATATGCAAATCTGGAAGTGGCTCTTTCAGTGAAGTCAGTGCAGCTCACTAACCCAGCTTCCTTCCTTTAATATGGGGTCCTTTTTCAAAATGGGGGGGGACAATTTTGGATCCAACTTGTTAGTTCAATTTATGATTTTTTTTCCATGTAGTTATAAGAAGACCCAGGAAACCCTTTCCCAGGCAGGACAGAAGACTTCAGCAGCCCTTTCCAATGTAGGTTCTGTTATCAGCAGGAAGCTTGGTGACATGAGGTAAGATTTCTGCTTTGCACTCCAGGGCTTTGATCTTGGTTTCAAACAGGAATGGGACTTTAGACAATAACTAGGCTTTCTTCCATTTTTCTATTTAGTTGGCAGCACGTTGCTGTTGATGGACTGCCACCTTCTGTGTGGCCTGTGCATTGTAGTTTAGGACAGACTGAACTCTTATTAAGCCTGTTCTAAGGCATTTAAGTTTGGTTTGATTTAGGAGAGCTGACCAAACATTTTTAGCAGCTTTTTCCCTTTTACCCTCATGTGGATTCACTGCAGCTTTTATATCATATGTAAAAAGTTAGAATTAAAATTTCCCTTTTCCATTTCTTACTGGATTATGGTGGTGTGTTTTCTCAGTGTAACTGCTTTGGATTAGAGAGGGGTCATCCCTCCTGTGCTCTGTTATGATTAAAAACAAAAAGGGAAAATTCTGCTGCATTCCATGTGGTTTCAAGCCCTGGGTGTTGGCATTCCATGGAGAAGGGCAGCATGTCTTCCAGGCACAGTTATGTCATGTTGGTAGGAAAATATCAATTGATTCAGAAGATTATGACAACATCAAAATTTTTTTCTGTGGTTGGAGTTATCTCCATTCCTTAGTTGGATGACCACTGAAATAATTGCAATTTCAACCTCTTCAAACTGGCTAGAGGGACAGTTCTCCTGGCTGAGGTTCTTGCTCTGTGAGATTCTCAGCTGTACAAAGCCCAAGGTTAGAATTGGTGATTTACCTGCTCCTCAGGTAAACCTAAAGCTAAAGATTAAAGATTCAAGCTAAAGATTTCTACAGAGCTTTAAGCTAAAGATTTCTTCCCCACTGATGATAACATCCATATTTTTCCATGCAGAATCCCTTGACCATGTTTTTCTTGGATTTGAGAGCTAATTCTAGATGTGCAGCCAGTCTAGGTTACTAAGGAAGGATTTTTAGAGCTTGTGTTTACCATGCTATATCAGACCTTAGATTGAATGGGTAGCTATCATTCTTTGTAGGGAATTTCCTCTTCCACTGTGGCTGGGAGTATCCGAGTGGTAAGAACTTGTTGGCCTCTGATCACATAGAACTGATTTATTCTGGTTCTGTCCTCAGTGAGTTAGTTACTGTGTTCCTGGAGGGTGTTTTTTGGTGTTTTCAGAAGCTCACACCTCTGAATTTGGCAGAGGACTAGCTGGCTTCCTGCCCTTTCCAGCATTCAAGTTGTAACTTTTCTTTCCTGGAAACTCCCTAGTCTGATGGAAAAAGAGACTTTCATGTAATCACAGCAGATTACAGATACTGGCACAAGATGTGGTGGGAGCACACATTTTGCCAAACTGATAAATGAACTTGGGGCCTGGTTTCTGCAGTCTGGCTGGGCTATTGCAGCAAAGGAATGGGAACTGTGCTTTTTTTGGGACCACACGGGGAACTCCTGAACTGGGGTTGCCACAGGCAGAAGCTGTTTGGACAGGCTTGGTCCTGCCTGTTGTTTGTGAGCTGGGAGAATGCAGGTCATGCAGCTGCTGAAGTGCTTGTGCCATCCCAGGAGCAGGTGATGGAGGGAGGGATACTGGGGTGCTTTCCTGATGGCAGAGCTGGCCTGGCACAGTCACTGTCACAGCTGGCCCAGGCACGAGCCAGGCCTTTGCAGCAGTGGTTTTTCTCAGCTTCAACATCTGCATTCCTTTTTATAGCTAATACCTTGGGTGAGGTGTTATGAAATACAGGCAGCTTCTGTTTTATCATTTGGGAATCCCTGCCAAAGTTATTTCAGCAGGATTTGTATATGTGGCCCTGCGGGGGAACACAGTAATGATTTTTTTTAAGACTTTTAGTTTTTCTCTGCACATATAAACAGACTTCTATCTCCTGTGCTGCATCCAAGTCTTCCTATTTCTGATACTGAAGAAGGTTTAACTCTGAGCATGAGGTTTTGCAGGAGCTGTCCCACTTTTCACCCTTGCCAGGTGAACTCTGTTGTTCTGACATGTGATCAGAGCTGACGAGGAGTGAAGTCTGTTGTATTGCTGTGATCACTGCTCTGAACCAGTGGGATGATCTCTGTTCCCAGAGAATCTCTCTTACAGGCCTTGTAGCCTACACTGACCTCCTTTACTGTACTCTGTTTTTTATCTTCTTACACTACAAATTCACTTGTAAAGCGAGTTTATTTTCCAGCACTGGAAGTGTTGAGATAACAGAGGGGATTTCCTTGTTTAGTCAGCCTTCACTGGTTGATAAATGCAAGGAAGGCCTGATGAATGGGACAGAGCCTCCAGTACAGCGAGGGTGTGGGTCTAATTCCATTAAAAATGCTTGGACCAAATTGTTTTTAAATACAAGTAACATGTTAAATCTTTAGACTTGCTGTATTCTGGTCAAAATAATTTTGATGTGTGGATTGTAACCTTGGGAAGTTAATGCTGTAACTGTGTGCTTGCTGCATTAATACTCTACTGGATTGCTCTGAGGGGAGGAAATGTACTTAGTGGGTGGGATTTTTTCAAATCTTGGCCTGTTCAGATGTCTCTGTTATCTCCACCTACAGTTAAAAAGTAAATTGGCTTTTAGACATTCTGTTCCTGCATTTTACTGATGCCAGTAAACTGCAAAATTGGAAGTGTTTTCTTTTTGTTGCTTTGTGGGTTTGTGTCCACCTGTCCACTTCATGGTGTCTGATGAAGTCTGCTGCTGCACATAATGCTACAAGCAAATTCATTATGAAATGTTAGCCTGAGCCCAAATGCCTGCAGATCCTGGAATTTAGGTAAACCTTCAATCCTTATGGAAGGAGGAAAAGGGTTACTGCTAGGTTCAGGCCAAGACACGGAACAAGGAACCAGTGCTTGTGGTATTCCATATGGAGCAGCATGGTGCATGGATGTGTTATCTGTGTTGTTCTCCTTTAAGCAAGAGTAAGTAGAAAGTCAATTTATTTCACATGCAAAGACAGCATTTCAAGGCATCTGCCCTGCCAAAAAGAGCTGACATGGATATATGGGGAAATGAAACCACAGAGCCCAACATCTTCACTCTGGCTGTCAGGAAAAGCCCTTGTACTCATTGCCAAGCACTTCACATCCAGCTTGCCATGACTGCTTCCTACTGCAGAAGAATTATATTTAAGTGGAATAAAACACTGCTCTGGCAGGAGAAGCTCCTTTAGAGCATCCTGGTAATTTTCCTAATAGAAGTAGGAAACCTCAGTCTGTTGTTTTAGACTGCTGAGATGCTACTGCATTGCAAAATCCCATCCTAAAAATGGGCAACCAAGTTTCAGGGTAAATGTGATACCTTTAATCTTTTCTTTAATAACCTGAAGTGTGTTTGTTCTCTGAACTGTAACTTTGAGATTTGCAGGCTTGGCAAGATAAAGTGCAGGTATCCATTGCAGGTTGCCCTTACTCAAGTCCTCACCAGAAGTCTGAGCAATGCTGTCTTTGTATGAGGGATCACAGGGGGAAATGGGGGAAGGAGGTATCTCTGCCAATATAGCTGGTGCTTGGTAAAACCTTCAGTTTAGAAAAAAATGCTTAAAAAAATATGTGAAAGCAATAGATGGGGGTAGGTAAAATGTTTTGGTTTTCTGTTGCACATCTACTCCTTCCCCTCCCCAGCTGGGTTCTAAGTCGATGTAGATGTTGTTGTTGCTCTTTGAGAAACAGCTTATCTGGAGTTAATTAAAAGCTTTTTTTTTGGCTTGTTCCTGTGATTTATTTTGAGAGGCTTCCTCCTGGGTAGTTGACTTTGCTGTCCCATGATTCTGTGACCATGTCCCTGTGTTTGGTGTTAGCTCTGTCCAAGTTTCTGACCATGCCTTCCTTTTTCTCTCTGCTGCCCGTGGCCTCTCCCAGGGCTCACTCCATCTCACATTCCCTTAGGTAAGATACCCTTCAAGGCTCTAAAAGAGCATTTGTTTCTGTGCCAGACCCTTGCAGACCTTAAAGGGGAAGCTGGTTATTTAAGCCTTGCCTAAACTTTTGACACAGATTGAGAAATCTACCACAAACCAATGCCCTGGGATTGACTTCTGTATCACAGTTGCAGTTAAATACTGGCTATCCTGTGTCTAGGAAACTAAATTCGGGGCTGCAGCTGTTAAATAAGGGGAGAGAGGGCTGGCTCCTACCACTTGGGCTGCCCACAGCAACCTGTATGTGGACAGTGAGTGTTTCAGACTGGGTTAGGCTGCTTTTGCACAGTGTGGAATTGTTGTTAACTTTTTCCTCCTTGTCCCAAACGCTTCCGAGCAGCGGCTACTCCATCCGCCACTCGATAAGTATGCCAGCCATGAGGTAATGTAGCACATGCTGTGTCTCCTGAGTGGGGCTGGGGGGAGGACAGCTGCCTCCATCACTGCTGGGGGGTTTGTTCTGACTTGGACAACCAGCTCCTTTCTCAAGCAGGTCCCTCTCTGAGCATGGATTAACCACGGCCTGCAGTTTGACTATTTAAAGGGTTTTTTAATATCTCTTAAGGTCATTAGCACCTGTCTTTTCTTGGACTAAGTGCAGTGTTGCACCTGTACCAAAGTCTGGTTGAACTTTCAGCTTTCAGAGGTGCCTGAAGGGCAGGATTACAGTTCTGCCACAATGTAAGGCACAGCCATTTCTACACTGAGGTGAATCCCAAGGGGAACCCTCTGAGCCTTCCCTCACTGTGCCTTAGCTGGTGATCTCCTTGCAGGAGAAATAATTGCCAGGGCTGGACAAACCCACAGAACTCTCTGTGTTCATCCTCTTTCCAGATCAGCAGAAATTGTTTAGTGGCTGCAAACCTAAAGCAATTCCTTGGAACAAAAATAACTGAGATGAGGCGAGTCATCTCCCAGCGCTCCCGCAGCCTGGCCCGGGGGAGCAGCTCTATGAGTAATTGCCTGGTCTGGATGCTCAGTACAGAGCACTCCCTGAAATCCTTTGCCAGCCAAGCAGCTTGTTGGGTTGTCAAACAACTGACCTGGTTTTCTTTGCTAGAAATATGAAATGCTCTGATTAATTTATTAAGCTGTGATTTTGGTGAGCATTTCCTGATGTAAATGATCACCCCTGTAGAAATAAAACTGCTGATAGGTGCAGGTATGTGGCCCTTCCTCTGCCTCCCCATGGGATGTAATACAGGAAAATGAAGCCTTTGTTTTAAACCTTTCTCAGCTTTCCCTTTCCACTATTTAAAACAAAGTGTTTTTAGCTGGAAGCTTTTTAAAGCTAAGAGCTGTTTTCTTCTCTACTTAAATATGCCTTGATTCCCCAGTAAACTAGGACTTGTTTCCCTCAACATTTTAGCTTGAGTAATTGAGTGGACTGTATGTGGTATAAATGTTTTCCTTTAGAGTTTGGATGTGGTGTTCATGCCTAGTGTGCCTGAGAGATTTGTGCCAAAGGCTGTGAGGAGCTGGAAGTGTTCTGGGTGATGGTGTCACTGCAGGAGAATGGCCACAGAGCCCAGTCACACTGTGCCATTTGATATGGTTAAGAGCCAGCTTGTCTTGATTTGTTGTTTTTTTCTCCCCTCTTCTTTCTTCAAGGAATTCTGCAACCTTCAAGTCCTTTGAAGATAGAGTTGGGACCATAAAGGTAACAGTCTGTTTTGTGTTGTAAACACAGAGTGTGAAGCCTTGTGCAGAAACTTTAATTTCTGCAATGTTTTTCTTGTAGACTAGTATTCGGGCAAATGGCCTCTCAGATATGTGAAGTCTTGGCTACAGTAGGTGACCTCGACAAGGGGGAATTGACTTGGTATTCCCAGTGCTGCCTTCTTGGTGTCCTCACTCTCTTCTCTCCTTCCAGTCCCGAGTGGTGGGCAGCAGGGAAAACAGCACTGACGGCCTCCACTCCCCCTCTGGAGCTGGGGACAAGCCTCCACATGACAACGCTCCCTTCTAGGCCTGGATGTGGCTTTGCACAGCTGTGCACAACTGGAAGAGCCCCCTCCCTCCCAAACCTTCACCACAGCAACAACTTGCGAATCCAAGAAGGGGCTGAGAGCCAGTCTGGAGAGATCCATCCTTCATTCATAGACACTGCTGCTGGATCCAAGTCAAATAAAGAGAATGCAAAGTTTTGTACACAAATAATATTTTACACTAAAGTTTGTAGATTAAATGTATCACTGCTGTCCTTTTGGGAGAGCGTGTAAGCTGGAGTTTCCTTAAAGTAGCTCAGAAATGCCACTGCTGTAGATGCAAACAGTTTTCCCTTGTCTTACATGGCTTGGAGCAGACGCATGGCCCTGAGCAGCATGAGGAGGGCAGTAACTGGAGAAGCCAAGTTGCATGGGCACCTTAGCTTCAGCTTCTGGCTCCGTTCTCTGTGTGGGCTACTCTGGGAGCTCCCAGGCTTCTCCTGTTACTGTTTTCTCTGGCTCTCATCGGAGCTGTTGGGTAGTGGGGTAAACAGTTGAGGTTTTTTCTGGGCTCCTAAAAGGTAAACTTCACTTAGCAGCTGCCTCGTTGTTACACTAATGCTCTAGCTTTAACGAAACTAAGAATCTTTATTTTTAAATGCAATGAACTTTAAAGAAATAAAGCATAAAAACAAACAAAAAAAAAAAGCTTTTGCATATTAGGGCAATGCTCCCTTGGACTCTGAAGCTGAACTGCAAGCCTTACATCACTTATGCTTTACTTGTTTATGATTTATTTTCTGTAGAGGAGACTGCAAGGGTTCTAAAGCTGGTTGTTGAGCACTGGAGTTTTGCATCATGCAGTCATAGCAGCATGTTTATAAAGCCAGTCCTTGTGTTAAATTCAGTGGTGCACTCTGTTTCCCGAGTGTATGAAACTTGCTTCTCCCTTCTCAGCTTATCCCTTCATTCTTGGAGGAGGAATTTCTGAAGGCTGGAATATGGATACCATTGGAGGGACTCTGCTCTGCTCTCTGAGGGCTCCTCCAGCTGGTACATCTGGCTGTGACTGGATGGGTTTCTCAGTTGAAAGCCCCAGCTCTAATTTTAGTTTACAAAACTGGCAGAGAGTCATGGAGCTCACCCAGTCCCTCCAGGGGCTGGATGTTTTGCTCTTTTGATGTCCAACTTCATTGCTCAGGAGCTGACAAATTCCAAGTTTTCTCCTAGAGGCCTGAACTTATTCTAGGCAAGGTGCCTCCACGTAGAAATACCTAGAGTGAGCAATTCTGTGCCTTAGAGGCGAAGTGGGACTTACTCAGGTCTTTAAACTTATGTACATATCTGGGTAGTTTTAGTGGTTAATCACCCCGGAGGGACTGAACTGCCTCTGACCCTTTAGAGAAGCAAGTTTTGACACTGATTTGATAAATTTCCATTTCCCCACCCCTGCTCCCCTCCCTCTGCAGACCTGGGGATGTGGGATGAGATGTTAGTGGGCAGATGTACTAGGCCATAGTGGAGTGTAGAGTGTCGTTCACGAGCACTCCTCGTTTGACTGGAACTGTGAGGAACAGAGCCAGTGAAATGAGGACTGCAGGAGCTTGGGTATGGAACTGTTTCTCTTTAAGATAAAGACTGAGGAAATGTGTCAATAAAGAATTCCTTTGGGAGAAAATGGGGTGAATGTCTTTGTCTTGTTCTAACAGCACTGAAATCCTCTCTTGAGTGGTTGTTACGAACTTGTCAGGTAAATACCAACTGCCTGCAGCAGCCTGAGGCAAGAAGCAAGTGAAATATTCCATCCTGTCCCTCGGGCTTATCTGCTGGCTCTGTGGATGCTCTCTCATGAAGGAATGTAGTAAATAATATTTACAGTCTGATGTTTCCTTTCCAAGATGCTGGACACTGTTCCCAAGCTGTTTCCCACCATGGCTGGTGCTGCAGGTGAATTCCAGACTTCCTCATGCCCTTTTCCTGAGCTGAGAGCATTGGGGCTGCAGTCCCAGCAGTAACCTTGGCAGTGGGAGCTGAGGCTGGAGAAATTTCTAATGTGGAAAAGCTGCAGCTGGGGTGCTGGCGTGGCTTGACAGCGTGATACCTCAGGGAATCAGTCACCGCCATGGGAGCTCTGGCAGTCAAACAGCACAGCACAGGGAAGTTGAAGATGGATGGCTGGAGCTGCTGTCTCCAAGTTTAAAAGGGCAGTGCAGAGCAGGCAAATAGCTTGTGGAGAGGCCAGCAGAGATCCTCAGTGTGCTGTTTTCAGAGGAAGGATGCCCAGCTAGGTTTGGGACATCTGCTTGGTGATGAGGGTTTGGTTTTGGTTTTGTGGGGTTTGGGTGTTTGTTTTGAAGGTTGGGGGTATTTTTCCTACATCACTTCATTAGGTAAAACTACATCTCTCCAAGTGGGGCTAAGGACAGACAGGTTGGTGTGAGACTTGATCCTGGAGGAGAGATGCTGCTGGGAGCACCCAGGCTGAGGTGAGGGCAGAGGGCTCCATTCCACAAAGCAGATAAACAGCCGAATCAAAAAGTAACTACAAAAAACAGGAAGGAGCCACTTTTCCCTGCTGTCCCAACCCTCAGCCAAAACCACAGCAAGTGTTTTTTAAGGAATTTGAGATTTATGGTCTGAGAGGGGTTGCACAACCACTCCAGCAGCCTGTGCTCATCCTGGCCGAGCGGGCAGTGTCCAGAGCCAAGCTGCCAGCCTGGGCCCACTTGATGCACCCCCGTGGGTGCTGGGGTGGGCTCAGCATCTCTGCTTGAGTGCAGACTCTGTGCAAGTTCCAAGGTCAGTGCTGGGGAGCCCTGCAAGTGGCTGGTGTTTTGGACAGGGAAAGGTGCAGGAGCTGAGCTGGGGATGGAGCTGGAGCAAGGAGATGGTGTGGGTGTGTGATTCATGGTGATGACTCTGTTGGCAAATAGGATCCATCATCCATTTCTTTAAAACGTGAGTCAGAGGCAGCAGACGGGAAAGGCCATTAGAGCCTCACGGAGAAGCCACACACCAGCAGGACCGTGTTGGAGTGATGGGAGGGAAAACTGGAACCAGTGTTCCTGAGGTCACCACCCCAGCGTCACCTGCTCCAGGATGCACTGGATGGGTGGTAATTGTGTTTTTACCTAACACTGGGAAATAGCCGCGTTTCCCAGGGAACAGCCAGGAATGCCAGGAAACATGAGCAACTGGGAAAAGCAGACTCATGAGCTTAAAAACCTCATTTGTCCTAATTGTAAGCAATCGTTTTTGTTAAAGGGAACCAGCTCTGCACTGGGGACTCCAAGGGCCGGTGTGAGGCTGGGAGGGTGGGGTGGCAGGATGGGATTCTCGGAACAGGCCGGGGGTGAAGGTGCTGCCCGGGCACGCTGGGGTCGGTGTGCGGGCAGTGGCTGAGTGACAGCGCCCTAAAGGCAGCGAACCCTCAGGCCCGCAGCACACGGGTGATGATGTCCTGAGCGTGTTCCGTGCGCTGCTGCAGCCCAAGCCTCCGGCTGCTCCACTGCCCCTGCAGCCGCCGTACCTGTGCCCCCAGCCCCGCAGATCCCGGTGTCACAGCCCCGGATCCAGCGCTCCCGGTGCTACGGTCACCAGCTGCTGTGGCGAGCTGCAGGCCCCGGCCTCACTGAGCCTTGTGCCGCAGCCGCCAACCCCACTGCAGATCCCGGTCTCCGTGCCACAGCCAGCGGCTCCCGTGATGGATGGCAGCCCCCGCCCCCCGTACCGCAGTCCCGGTCCCACGGTGTCACCGTCCCCGGCTGGCCGCAGAGCAGTACGTGAAATATCACGAGCGAAAACCCCGAGTATCGCTCCCTGGTGGTCTAGTGGTTAGGATTCGGCGCTCTCACCGCCGCGGCCCGGGTTCGATTCCCGGTCAGGGAAGCTTCACTTTTTGCCGCGCTCTGTCCCGCTTTTCCCCCCCTCCTTCCTTTCCCGCCTCCTCCGTTCCCATCGGGATCTCCCCCGCGCGCTCCCGGCGCTGCGGCCGCGTGCCCGCCCGCGCGCACGCGGCGGGGGCGATGCGTGTCGGCGACGCGCATGCGCAGTGCTCCGGCGCCGCCCCCTCCCGTGGCCGGGTCCCGGTCGGTGTCTGGCGGCGGCGGCACCGGCGCTGAGGACGGAGCGCGCGCGCCGCCGCGACCGGGCCCCGCGCGAGCCCCACCCCCCCCCGGAGCAGGGGGGAAGAACCCCGAACAAAAGGCCTGGGAAGGTGAATTCCAAATGAAAGTCATCCCTGTGTGTGGGAGCCGTGAATCACTCCGGCTCGCTCCAGAAGCCGGGGTGATTTCCCCTTCCCTTTCCTTACGTTATCCTGCTTAATTTTTATCGAAATAATTAGTAGCCTCTCGGCTGATGAGGTGCTTAATGAATGACGTACCAGCGGCGGGAAGCAAATCCAGCCTTTCTAACGTGAAACTTGCAAAGGCAGCATATTTCTGTTTATTCGTGCAGTGTCTTCTGGCTCTCAAATTAAGAATTCCAGTCAGGTAATTGTGAGATACGGAACGCAACTGGACCGAACGGAGACAGCGGATTCCCTGCTAGCGCCTCGCTCCTGCTTTTGTGCTGTATCAATACCTGCCTGTTCCACACCAGTGACACAAAGCCTTGAGTTTATTAGTGGAATGTGGGCACTGATGGAGCTGATGCTCCCTGGAGAGCAAGGTGAAGGCCATCCTGTCTGACATAAGAGGGAAAGCCAAAGGGTTTTATCTTTTCTAGGTTTGTTTTTATTGGGGTGTTAATTTTTGTGCATTGTGAGACGTTGCTCTTGAGCTGTCTGTGCTGCTGTAAGGCTTAAAAAAAAAAAAAAAAAAAAGAAAAGGGCATAAATTTGGTACATCATCTCAGACCGGTGTGAAATAATCTAATTCTCCTTGCTGATGTTTGCCTAGTGCCAGCTTATCATCAGGAAAGGGAAATGCTGTGTGTGTGCTTAAATACTGTGTTAGTTTGCTGCTTTTGAAGCAAAAACTTGCAGGCCGCAGTCGCCCAGTGGCTGAGCAGTGGTGGTTCACCCATTTCTCTGGGTAAATTAAGCTCTCCAAAGTATGCAGAGCTGCAAGGATTTCCTTTGGAAATGCGTCAGGATTGGACCTATTTAAATTCTTGAATTGTAGCAGCCTCCTTGAAGTGGAATTTATTCTTTTGACTGCAGTTTCATTAGAGGCGTTTTCAGCTTCTCAGGCATCTGTTGGTTTCAGGTTGCCTAGGATCAGTGTTTGCATTTTTGTGTGCTTTTGGTAGAATATGATAGAATCCTAATCTGACTAAGGGATCCTGAGAAATAGATGCCAAATTAATTTGCTTTAATGAATTAGCTCTAATAAATCAAGTATGCTATGCCCTGGGAGGGAGACAAGAAGGGAAACAGAAGCTGGAGTGGAAGAGAAATTGACATTAATATATAGAGTGTAAGATGAAAAGAAGTTTATTTTTATTGAGCAGCTTCCTGTGGTTTTCTCGCCATGCTCTAAGGGCTTTGGAGAAATTCGTCATGTTGCTGGCAGTGCAGAGTCTGCTTTGTGGAGAACTGAGCTTTGGAGATGGGATTTTCAGCCAAACAGCTTTTTGTAAGCATAAATAAATACTTCTCTCTCTCCCTCATTTATTTTGTCTTGGGGATTGTCCGCAGCGTTTAGGTGAAAGGGGAGATGCTGCAGCATGGTTATGTTCCTCCTGAATTTTGGATGTGTTGCATTGATGAATTGCAGGCTGGAGGCTCAAGTGGAAGATTCCCCTCCTTCCCAGAGTAGCTTTGTGCTATATTTAAGCATCTTTTTTCAGTGAGTGCCTGAAAAAAGTAAAGTTTCGTAGCATGTTTTTTCTCCTGGTGTAGACCATAGTTCGTGTTGATTATTCCCAGGAAGTATAAACACTGTTTCAGTCTTTCCCAGTGCCCAGGGACCCAGCTCCTGCTCTGTTGGTAGCCTGTCCCAGTTTGCAGTGGGTTGTAGGCAGTTGATTTGGTTTGTGGCTGAGGTGGCACCATCACTGACCTGGCTGCAGCAGGGAAGTTGCCCAGGGTGATTGGAGCCTGCCAGAGGCTTGTTTTGCAAATGATGGGAAGAGGGCTTGGAATGCAGCTGGGATATGGACAAGCTTCTCACGCCGTGTGAAGGCATCCATGGAGTCAGTGGGGGACGTTGGATCCTCATACTTTGGAAAACATGGAGCAGTACCAGAGTATGACTTAAGAACTTTCGTGCTGGAGGGAGTCCAGAGGAGGGCATGAAGATGCTCCCAGGGCTGGAGCAGCTCTGCTATGGAGAGAATTGAGGTTGTACAGCCTGGGGAAGAGAAGGCTCCAGGGACACCTTAGACCCCTTCCAGCACCAAAGTGACTCCAGCCCCTGGAGTGACAGCACAAGGGGGAATGGCTTCACTGGTGGAGGACAGGGTTAGATTGGATACTTGGGGAGAATTCTTCCCTGTGAGGATGGTGAGGCCCTGGCACAGGTTGCCCAGAGAAGCTGTGGCTGCTCCATCCCTGAAGTGTTCAAGGCCAGACTGGATTGGAGCAGCCTGCTCTTGTGGAAGGTGTCCTGGCCCATGGCAGGAGAGTGGAACTAAATGATCTGCAAGGTCCCTTCCAAACCAAAGCAGTCTGGAGTTCCATGAGCCCAACAGCGCAAGCATTGATGTTGAGATCCCTTGGCCTCACAGG